ACATAATTACATCGTAACACATGAAAAAAAATAACAGAAAGAAAGTTTTTCATGATCATAAGAGTTTGTCGGATAACTATGTATATTGATTTACTAGTTTTTATATCCCCAAATATAATACCTGGTTCTTCACACAGTACCCTGATTCTAAATCAACTTTATATAATTTTTTGTATTGAATTAAAATAAAAACCAAATTATATTTAGATGGTTATCAATTATCGTGTTATCTTGTTAAAGTTTAAAAAATTAAACTACTAACCGATTTTGATAATATTATAACGCTTTGTGTTCATTATTTTTAACACCGATTTCTTCTTTATATTAATGACCAACAATAATTATTCCATAATCACCCATGAATGATAACCTGCTTTATTTAATCACGAATATAATAAATTACGTTGTAGATCTGCAAATCTTTTCATTTTCCAACTTTAGAAATATATCATTAAGCATTTGTCGGGAAAAGACTGTCGAAAAAATTCACGTCAGAGAAACAGGAGTTTGGAGGAGTTTTGTCGGTGAAAAACTGTTGATAAACTTCTTGCAGAAGCTAAGGTTGTCGGGAAATGGTCGCATCTTGAAAAATCATTCAGTAAACTCTTCTATCGATAAAATAGACTGACATAAATATGTCTTATCGAAAAAAGGGATATTGAAATTATGGGGTCGGAGAAATAAATAGTATTTCGGGAAGGTGGTTTTCGGGAAAGTGAGAATCAACGAGTTGAACCATGTCTGATCGGGTTTGGGTCAAAATCCCGACAGTCGAAAGTCCCGACAATCAAAAAAAGTTTTCCTTGAGCAATTTTACTATATAATCACTTAAACCCTAACCCTATCACCCTTATGCCCTCACCTAACCTTAAATGAACTTAATAATTTTTGTTGTCGGGATTTGTCGGGATTTTTTTGTCGGGATTATGACCTGTCGGGATTATGTTTATCGGGATTTCGACCGGCGCCCGTCTGATCTAACCCTATTCGAAGTTCTAATAACATTGATAATACAAAATTGAGCATCTTTAATTTCGGTTCGTATTCAAAATTAATTATCCATGTTATACAATTAATGAATATCAAAAAGCTAATAGGTTATACATTGTAAAATTAATTAAAAAGGTGATTAAATCTAATCGGAGTTAGTTAACATGTGATTTTAAAAAATTAATCAAATTGTACGTTTTCGTAATAACCTTTAAACCCCAATTTTGAATGCCGATAAAATTGTTACACTTAATTCAGTCATGGAGTGTTGGTGTATAATCCAAGCAACTTAGTCGGGCCGAAAAAAAGTGTCGGTCTCGTGATCTCAGAGTGATCGTAAACCAATTATATTTGGAGAAAAAAGGTCATTTTTGTCAAAAATTTGCATAAGGAAGCACCTTCTGGGTTCTAGTAAAAAATTTTTTTTTGAGCAATTTTATATTTCAGAGTAACATCCAACCTCATATAAATGCTAATTCAAGAAATTTTAATGGAGCTCCGATCATGAAGATCACGGGACCGGCACTTTTTTCGGCACGACTAATTCGCTCGTATAATCTACAACATTTACAGTCCTGTCCACGATGAGAAGGTCCCAGAAAACATCCAATATCAGAATAGACACCTGATATTTGGGAATATTTTTATCATTGTAGCTGGTATCCGTATTAAATTTTCACTATATTATTTCGATTGTTATTGTAGCCAACAGGTGAAAATGTGACAATAGATCATGTCGTCCAGCCGTCTTGCCATTTTAAAGTGTCACTCCTGTCTCCGTTAAAGTTGGATTGGTTGATAATATACTTCCTGCAAAAGCCCGGCGCATCACAATTTGGTCTGATATTAAAAACACTTATAAAAATGTGTAGGATAATTAAAATAATAAACAAGCAGTTAGACATATCTATCACCAAACTTAACACGGAATACACATCGCATATATATGCCCCTATAGAAACGTATTATTAATACACATCATTCTGGTCATGCTGATATCTGATATAACGACATCATAGTAAAATCTTTCTATATCAACTTTTTTTTCAAAATTTTTCAAAATTTAATATAAAAATGGGTCTTTGCCGTGGAATCAAGTTATGGGAACATATGATTTTTGTGCTTCGTAACCTGCTTTCAAGGCAAAGACTCCAAATGTCGGTATAATTCATTGTAATGACTTTTTGAATTTTTTTACAAATGAAAAAAAAACAAAAAAACATCGATATACCCAGAGTAGCATGTATTAAAGAAATGTTGTGTGTTACACATTATATACAAAAAAGTACATTAATGTGATGAGTTTTCGGTCGTTTAACAATATTTTCGTTAGGCCAGATTGCGAAATCCGGCGCCGTTTTATCTATACGGCCAGTTGGATTGTAATGATCTGCAAGAAAATACGCGAATTTTTTATTACCTGTTACAGTATAGGTAAAAGACCAAGCAGAGTTCAAAGCAGACCATATAAAAATTTCCTAATTTATATGGTTGGCAATAAACACCTATCGAAGGGTAATGTCCACACCATTATTTGTAATGAGAATGAGGTATTCATTGTTCATTACAAACAAATCAACAGAATTCGTAATCTAGCATATTGGGGGTTTCAAAATTAACAAATAAAGTGGCGCATTCCGAAAATAAGTAGGATTTTTTTAAATAGCATTTTTACTATGTTGAAAAATAAAATAAGATTCTCCAATTTTAATTTTGGAACCTTGTTTTCGCAAAATTCTTACTAATCCTAAATAGCTGTCAGAATGGCTTTTATAATATGAACTTTCTCATCCTAGCACTTTTGCGATCTGATTAACTATCGACATTATTAGTCTACTTTTTATATCTCGCGTATTACTGTATTATGCAGGAAATTTGATGAAGACGTAGATTGTTCACCTTAATCCGCATAACGCTCATGCGCGTGCTCTAAATAACGCGCAAATACGGTTCGTATAAATTTAAAAATACAATAAAAAAACAATGGGTGCAAAACACCATAGATGTGTTTTATAATAATCGTATAATATTTTTTATTTAAAAATTTATAGTCAAACCTTCAAACTTTTATAATTGTAAATACATTTTATAAATATATATTCTCGATCTTTAGTTCTAGTTCGAGCTTGAACAATAATATTAAATACACACCCTTCTCTATATTCTGTGTGCAAGAATTTTTTATTGGAACTGTAATTTTAAAATACAGTAATATTTACATATTGGATGCAAAACGATATAGATCATCTCTTTTCAGGATTAGAACTTCTGAACTTACCGTTAGTGTTTGTAGTCGACATAAATTTATCGACTCAACCAAGCTGATATTTAAAAATGACTAAGTCGTATCGTTATATATTAAATACATATATTTTCAGTTTTTATACTATTTCCCCGAAATTTTCCTAGATTCATAATCTATCGACTTAGTCGTTTTTACCAACTAGTGCCGAATCGACTACCCTTTTCTATGTGGATCGCCGCCCAATCATATTTATTATTCTAATTTTAGAATTTTAACCAATAAAAACGAACATCTACTACCATATACTGATCAGAAAATTATGTCGAGCTTTCAGAAGCGATCTAGTCGAAATTCAAAAAGTAAAAAGAATAAAAAACCTTATTATAAGAAGCAAAGCAATACCGCAACCTTTAACCCAGGAATATCAGGGGTTTTTGTTAGTTGCACAAAGAATAAAGAAGATCTTTGCATAAGAGAATGCTACGATTTGTTTGACGTAGTAATTATTTGAAAGATAATATTCGAAAAGTCATTTATCTATTGTTTGAAATTTGGCTTAATACTTTATTTAATTAGTATGCAGATTTAATATACAAACCTGCCGATGAGACTGATGTTGTAGATGAGGATGAAGCGAACAAAACAATAGACGATGATATTGAAAGCGCTATTGCTAAAGAACTCTCACAAATGAAACGGCCGCATACATCACGTAGATTTGCTTCAATTCAAACCGGAACAGATTGTGGTATGAACATTAATTGAATAGGTGAGATGAAAGTATTCATTCACATATTTATTTATCCTAATATTTAGTTGTCTTTATCAAGACCAATCCTCCCGTAGATCCTGTTAAACTAGTTCACTATATCTTGACTGATTTAAATAATACTAAGCAAAAGAAAACGAGGTTGGTGATTTTCTATATTAATGACATAAATTAGTTAAAACATGTGAAAAAGTTGCTTAATAGTATGCATATTTAATCTTCTTTAACAGGTTTTGTAAACGGCTTATCCCAATCACACAAACTTGCTACGCCAATATAAATGACATTAAAAAATTAGCCGAAGTAGTATTGCATCCTCACTTTTATACACAGGAGCAAGATCAGAAGCAAAAGATAAAAGTACTATTTTTTTTTAAGAAATGATTTTTCACTTTTGAAGAGGTAATGCTAACGCACTCTAATTTTTTTTTTTCATTCTATGTTAAGTACGCTATAATTCCAAATATCCGAAATAATAATAAAGTGGACAGAATGGAATTGATTCAACAGATTGCAAGTATTGTTGGCGATTATCATATTGTTAATCTTGATGAACCGGATTTGGTTATCATCGTTGAAATTTTTAAGGTTTTAAATTTTCTCATTAATTATTAGTACGTTTACAGATGTAATTTAGTTATTGTGCACTCATAATTCCAACTTTAATATTGGACGATGGATGCATTATAGCTAATTAAGGCTCGAGTGAATCTCTTTGCATATCATTCTTAATAATCTACTTTTTTTTCACATATAGGGCATGTGCGGGATGAGCGTTCTTTCTGACTATAAAACATTGAAGAAATATAATGTTGAGAGCATCTTTGAAGATCAAAATAAAGATCAAAATAAAGATCAAAACAAAGAGCAAAATAATGATTGAATCCGTCTGAAAACTATTACCTGGTAGGGTGTTCATCAAACTAATAAAATTAAAAGCATGATATAGACTAATTACTAATTGGAAAATTTGTGAAATTTTGAATTTATTTGCGGGTGACAGCAACTTTCGGTACAGTTTTCTTTCAAACCAACATCATAATTGCTAGTTTAATTTGAAAAAAGATAATTATCTTGCTCAAGTTAATGTAATAATGGATTTATTCTATATAATTATATAGTTATTATTAAAAAGGGCGAAATAAAGGCTATAAATTAAATAAATAAATAAATATAACAGTGCTAACTCCTAATGAATTAAAAAAAATATATAGAATATATAAAAATAGTACACCGTGCATCAAAACAACAAAGATTAGCATTTACTAAAAAAAAAAATAGGTGAAAATAGTACGAATAACGAAGAGAATAGTGACAATATATCTGCAAGCTGCAATCATTAAATATAAAAATCATTCGGCAAAAAATCGATAATACAGTTAAATATTATCGTTATAAGGAGTTAATATTTACCAGGCCTACCGAAAAATTAATTGCAATTAAATTATCACAAAAATAATTGAAACTCAATTAATTGCAATTAATTGCAATTAAATTCAATTTTCTTTCAGTACGTACGACCGATTTTTTTCAGATAATATAACCGTATAAAAAATATTTTAAACGTATAGCTACATAAATAAATAGTTGTGCACCGCAGTTGCACTAAACCAG